TAGAGATTTCTTCGATAACTTTTCCAATTATATTGAATTATTATTAAAAAATATACTATTATTTTACTCGAAACTTAATAGTACTACTTAATAACTCGAAAAATATTTGTTGTACGAAAAAGTGTTCCAGATAGAATAGACGGTTTGCTGTACGATCGTAAATTGGAGATAAATGTAAATCATATCATCCGCGGGTTATGTCGAAACGAACGATGCAAGATTTGATTAGTTGCTCTCGGTTATCGTATATCACTAGGTCTCTGCAATGTGTAATGCATAACCCGACGCACGTAGCACACGCAAATTGTAATTCAATCGTTCGGTTTTGATTTGCGGCTTTCTACGAAGATAAGATCGTATTCGTTCAACTTCTCTTACAATGTTGTCAAAGGCGACTCTTAATTAAGTTACACGTATTAACACTGGTCCTCGTTGCAACATTGCTATTCCGATTGTATTTATAAGATTTGCGCAATTTTTATCAAGGCTGCGAGAAAATAAATGAATTTGAAGTGATTGACATTAAACTTCGTTGATTCGCGTCTCATTTTCTGCATAATTAATCGCACGATGTATCATTGATGCCAAAATTAGAAAATTTTATTTATTAAGGGGTTATTCTAGCGTAAATTGCGTTTTTATTTCACTTCCTTTGGGGTCTTTTTTGCGAAGAAGTTGCAATGCCTTTTATAATCACATTTATAAAGTTTATTTGTGCACGTTCAATAATATTATAATTTTTTGTTTGCTCTCAGTAAGAGTTAAAATTTGACTACTTTAAAACATAGTTAATTGCAAACAGATCGTCCTGCGATAACGAGTGATACAATTATATTTGTCCCAAGTGTTTAAAATCCTCGCAAGAGCCGGTAGATGGCAGCACAAGCATGGACGAGTAGCCATTTTGGTACCATAATTCGAATGCTCCATATTTTATCGTTGTTCTAACAAGGGTGTCGCATCGTTAATATTTTTCGAGTCATCCGAACGTCAACATCGATTTCTTTATCGGAAAATAACAGAGCAAAATAAGAGGAAAATAAACATCAAAATTCCGACAGCCGTCAGCTTAATTTTCCTTTAATTAATACGTTCAGTGCCGCGCGAGTCACGTAAGGTTGACATTAATTTTTAACTAGGTTTTTAAAATACGAGATAGCTGAACCAATATTTCCTTCAGTTTCGGTATCATTGATTAAATGACTTTGATATCGTGCGAATTTTTCGAGTTAATATTCGGCACTTGATGCGTTAAATAAGAATAAGAAGTCCACTGCATTTTTAGATATAAATAAAATTATAACAAGGGCGCAGCAACCACTGTGTTATACGTCTATTACAAAATTAAAGCAACGACACGTTTCGAGTTTTAGGTTTGGTGGCTCACCATTATACTAGAACACACGTACGTGAAACGTCGAACGGTTAGAAAAATTTCTGCCGTTTCTTTCTTCATGATCGATTGATCGATCAACCTTTTTATTCTTAGAGATACCGAACGCGGCTCAATTTCTCTTTAACCAGTTTCTCCTTTCACCGTTCGTTTTTCGACCGTTACATTAAGAGCGGTTCTCGAAGCCCGGTTCGTACAATCTTACAATCCTCGATATGCGGTAATTATTCGGATTATAGTGCTCGCATTACCTAGGTACTTGAAAACTTGTCTCGATCCTTCGGTGTCTTACGCTTCGTAGGAAATCTAATCGCCTTAGCACGATTAAAACATCTATCTCAGATCTATCATTTTATTAATAGCTTGTCATTTTCAAAATTAATATTACGCGTTCGTTTAAACATATATGATTACCATCAGCGATCGTAGCTGTTACAATCTACGTAAAACAATCTTCGATCGACAATTAGATATCATTTTCGTTCAAATATCTCAGTTACATGTAATGGTGACTGAAATTTATTTAATAAATTACGCCGTATTACGTATTATACTATAACAATTTTACTAATAATTATACTATAATAATAAACGAAAAAAAACGCCCGCCGCGGATGCGTGCAGTTTATTGTTGGCTGTTTGTTTCAAGCTTGGTACGTGACGCAAGAGATAGTGCACGTCAATTACAATTGTGATAATTATTAAGATGTACTACATTGTGTGGTATCTTTTTGTCAGGTACGCGCGTGAACCAATCACGATTATGAAATAATCTTTATCATGTATCGTTAATATTTGAGTAAAATTTTATGTTTCAATAGATATTTTATCTAGCGCATACGACAGATAAAAAGAAATATAGAAGAGTACAAGATTGTAAAAATCAGAAAAAATTTCCAAACATTAAAGGGAAACGGTGGAATTCGAGGAACGAGAAGGATTAGCTAATTCGTGAATAGCGAATTCGCGAATGGTGAACGGCGAACGGCGATTACCGCGTTTTGAAAATAATCGTGGCTTTGATATTTGGCGGGGCAAGACATTCGGATCTCATTTTTCACGTTAACCAAAAACCAGGAAGTGACGCTTCGTTGCGTAATTTAATAGCTTCCGTGAAATGACGAAACAACAGTCGGGACGGTGAGATCGCAGTAGAGGCTGCGGTTATCATTATTACAAACAAATTATTGAGCGTGCACATGTATTGTTCGAAAGCCACGGAGGAGAACAGAGGATAATTCTGGTATTCATGCGTCTGGCTCTCGTTCTCTTTTGTTTGCCCGCAACGGTCTCATAGCGGCGGTGTGAGAAAAACGAATCTATCGAAATTACACCGAAACTTGGTCACGATTAAAAACACTTTCTCTTCTACAGTGCTCGCCCGTCCATTCTACGCGAAAATGCAGAAATCGAGATGGAAAAATATTAGTGGTGGTGATAGAAAAAAATTAGTAGACTGAGACAGCATTATCAGATAATAGCATTCTTATCTTTTTTATTACAATAAGTAATCTTTTAATTGTCGAAGGAAATGTCTCTTTAATTCTAATTTTCGTAAAACGACGTATCAAAGTGAGAATTTGCATACAAATCTGCAGTCTAAAAATCTTTCATTGCAACGACGCGTATCGTAGGAATGCACGATGCGAAAATAATTGTCGAAACGATCGTCCATAAACTTCCTGCAGACAGTAAGAAAATACTTGGACATTTCGCAAGACTGTTTTCAGCGTACACCTTCTACGTTTCGTTCGCAAAGACCACGAGTCTTTTCTTCGCGTTCGATATCGTTCTTGCTGTGTCGTTTATCGAATGCCGGAATGTTCTTGGCTGCTGCTGTTTTAATCACGACTGTATCGTAACGAGCACGAGCGAAGGTCCATTTAAGGTCCATTTATACTCACCGACAAGATCGCTCCATCGAAACTATTTTCTCAAATATTCTCGCAAGGGTGATTAATTTAGATTCAATAATCTCGGTGCCATCCATCTTCCCAGAAATTTGCTAGAAATCAGCCGCGCGGACGAGACGATACAAATTGCAATTTTTTAACGAAAGTAGCAGGGACTTTTTATGTTGTCCGCATGCTCCCATGTTCGACGATAACGCGATCGTTGTTCCAGCAATGCTGTGACAATAGATTTCACGACGAAGACTGGATCGTTCGCAACACGCATCTGTTTATTCATTGATCGGCCTTCACACTGAATCGTCGGTTTTTATCATCGGTAACAGCAAGATCTCGATATAACGGTACGAATAGACATTCCTGGCTGAATGAATCAGTCCCCTTGTCCGATTGTTGTCCATAGCCGATGGTCACGCATCGGTTCGGTCAAGGCCCTTCCTTCCCCTTTTTCTCCATCGCGCTTTCCCTCTCCTCGTTCTCGTCCCACCTCTCGAACACGGCTACACGGCTCCTTCACCTTCCGTTATTTATGCACGTTAATTATGCACTGCCCGACGCCATTTAACCGGGATCCTGTCGATCTTGTCATTTCTGCTTTTTTTTCCAAACGTTGCACGATTTAACGGATGAAAGCGGGGTTAAACGCGCGGAAAGTAACGCGATAAACGGATCGAGTCGCGAACAGGGGCGCCGATTTTGCCGAAGATTTCTGCTGCTTCTCGCGTGTTCAATTTTTTTTATCTAAATATCGGTCATTTATATACACGTTGAATATTTCATTGTAAACGGTTGACGCGTTGTCGAGCGCAGCCATTGTCACGTGTAAAAGTTACCTGTTTTTGGCTGAAATTTTTCGCCTGGAGAAACTGCTGCTTTTACGAACTTCAAATGTTAACGACTCGTAACAACTTTTTAATTTTTTTATCATTTCAACCAATTGCAATGTTTGAAAACAATTGTTGGCTGTACTTCCGAAAGAGACTTATCGCCAATCGAGATGGCATTTGGAGGGTAATATAGGAGAGTAATATAATAGTGATATAATAATATAATAATATAATAATATTATAATATAGTAATATAGCAATATAGTAATATAGTAATATATAATAATATAATATAATAATATATTAATAATAAATATATTGCATGTATCTTCACGACTACAACGTCGCTCCGCCTGCCATCTTTAGTCCAACGGTCGATAAAGCAGGAGTGACACTGGTTTCGACATCTATAAGGTGCCCAAATACTTTTCGTGCGAGCGAGCATCTTTGACGATTCTCAAATCCAACGGTTTTCACATTATATCTTCAAATTTGCTAGCAGTCGCACTTGGTTTCGGTTAAATTATTTTTCGAGCAAGCGAAGCGGCCGATCCACTTTAACAATTTTTTAGAAGTCTTTTTTAGAGGTTCACCCGTTATCGTGGCCAGCAGGAAAAACGGGGGTCTGCTGATCTACACACTTTTACAGACGGCGAGTCTCTTCGGCGAACATTTTCTAGAACCATATTATTTATATGTGATTTTATTAATCTATTAATATTTAATTCTATTAATATTTGTGTTTTCTTCACGCTGTTTGCTTCTTCTGTCTGCATCTAAAAGCTCCGAGAAATTGCAATTAAGCGGCGGACAAATCGTTTCTCGCGGGGAAGGGGATTATTCGGAATCGAATATCCTGTTACAGGAAAATCGTGCGAAATTGAATATGTTACTCTCAGAAATTCTATAAAAGCGACGAGTTAATTAAAACGCGACGCTTCTTTACATTCGCGATACGATACTCGTTAGTGCAAATGGCAGCCAGAACCGCAGATGCTTGCCATATGTGCGCAACGATAAGGTAAACATCTTTTACCGTAGCAAGTTAATTTGTTGCTAGGCGGAAAACGTCGATCGTTTAACAGCGGTTCGTAATAATTGTTCGCATCGCGAACGTTACCTAGATAAATTGTAAATTGCAAATTATAAATTGTAAATTAAATGTAATAAACTAGAATTAGTAATATATTACCTTTTCATCTGTATATAGAGTCTTCGAGTCAATTATTTCACTTCCTTGTTCTGCATTTCTCTTTTTAACGTTACGAGACAAACAATAATTCCATTTATCCTAGTGGCGGCTCTTTGATGAAATAAGTAATAGCTAGTCCACAAATCTGTTTCTTAGTGGCGACCCTTTGATGAAATAAGCATCGGTTGGTCCACGAAATCCTACCCCGTGGCTCCCGGGGGGTGAAACAAGCATTGGCTATCAATCGCAACCATTGCAAAATCCAAGAAAGTCCAAACGAATCTCGGTCATTTATAACTGGCCAGTCTTCGGCTCGTAACAGATTTTAGGCGAAAAAAAGCAGACGTCTTACGGTATTTCCTGGGGGCTATCGAGGAGATCCTGTCGCATATGTCGTGTCTACAAAGTGAAAATGACATGTTAACCGCTATGCTACACGCATTATATAAAAGTGACACGTGAGAGGTGTTTGCATAATGTAGATTTTACGGCTTGCGATATCGGCACACGCGTGGCCGGAGCCGAACGTTCAGAAATGTGACTTAGCTCGCGACAGCAAAAGCCGAAAAACCTTTGACCGCGACCGACGCTGCATATTCACTACCCTTCGCGTTGACGTTAATGCAAATGGACCCTTAATACGGTGCATCGTGCACACGTGCCCGTCTGCACGCCTCCGCGCAACAGCATTATTAGCATGCGCATACGATTAGGGTGCTTTAAAGCTGAACCATCGCGAATAACAGAAAAGGATCGATTAGAAAAATTAAAGTTAATACTTATGGAATATAGAAATGCTACTTCGAAGTGTTGAAAGTTATTTGTGCAAATTATCTTTCTGCACCGTGACGTATAAAGCAAAGTAAAGCATAATAGACACAATATTTATTTGCCGCACGTTATTCTCGCGTTAATCGCCGATAAAAATTCAGGGAAAAGAACCGGCGAAGAAACAACTGGGAGAGATCGTTTCGAGGCGAGACCAGTCACTCCTCGAGCAATTAACGACAGCGGAAAAAATCATTGCAACCAATAAAGTTCAGGTAGCGGAGATCCCACTCGATCATAGTGTGCGTACGCGCCTATAATTTATAGTCTTCCCAGTATCGCTAGTTTCTATCGGGCTCTCCGCGTCGAGCTTACTAATTATCGAACGGGTTTCGGACACGTTTACTGCCAGCTGGGATGTTTCACTTTCGTTTTGCTCCTTTTTCCACGCTGACACGCGGTTAAACCGTTCCCCGGCGATACCCTTGGCGCAGATGATAATCGGTTAAGCGATCGCCCCCCGATATTATCGGTCGAGAAAAAGTACTCCGGCGAGAGCCACGTACGCGGAAGAAAGAGGGTTGAAGACAGCAATAAATTACAATAAATTCGGTAGAAACCGAATCCTATTTGATACAGTATTATTATTCGAGCCTCGCGCCTCGTTTTTCTATTTACCGATTGTCATCGACTATAAAATCGAGCCACAAGCCTCGAATAATCGTATCTCCTCTTCCCAAAATGTCCATTCTTGCGCGTACTCTGAGCGCGAATTGGGGAGAAATAACTGCAAAATCTGAGCGCGAATTAGGCAGAAATTGCTGTAAAATCTGAGGGTCGATTAGGGAGAATTTACAGTGACAAGTCGTTTCGCACGACGGAAACAGAATCGGCGAATAGGCGAACGCGAGAACGAACGAAGGGGTGAACACGGGCGTTGCACGATTAACAAGCGATAGCCGGATTTTCTGTTTCAACATTTACAGCGCCTTGAACCAATAATTCGCGCGGCACTGCACACGTGATCGCTTCTGTCGAAACGAACACCGAACCAGTTATTAGATACCTGCGTATCGGTTAACGAACGAAAGAAATTTCCTGTGGCGTTATCTCGATCCTGCGCCGGTCTCCCGTGTTATTTAATTGGCTGCCGGAGTTGTACAATTTTTCGCCGTATTATCGTGCGCCGACGAAGGCTGCTCGACGAAACGGATCCAAGAAATCGAACGTCGGCCGTGCTTTCGGAATCGTTCGCGGCTAATAATGCCATTTTCTTCTATAAAAAGTAACGAACGATTGTCTAAAAGCGTCATTAGCCAAGAGCGATCAGCGAAACCGTGCTGCAAACGTAAATGAGACCGTTAAAACTGGTACGAGATACCTGTTGACAGTATTTTTAGACCACGCTAGAGGTACGACAGGATACGAGGCATCCGACTGTGGCAGCCGACCGCTCGACGCGTTTATCTGAATCTGAAATAGGACACGTCGGATCTTTAACAGTTCATTGCAACGTTCATTTTAATCGTCTCCGCGATCGGGGACTCGGCTAATTTTTAACTGGAACTCTATATATTATATACTACATATTATATATAACTCTGTATATTATAATATATTATATATTACTGTATATATTACATATTTATATATTATATATATTATTATATTATATAAGTATGTAAATAATAATCGTACAAAGTTGAATATGCTTTCATTCGCATAATATTGCTGATAATAAAAAGAAAAATGTTACAGTTAATCGATACCGTGAAATTTTTGTTAATTTATTTCTTTTTTATATAAAATTTACAGATACCTTGGTATTTACGATGTGTGTATGCATGCCTGCGGGCCTCGAACGAATATAACCTACTGACCCAATTTTAGCGAGGGTTCACAGTCGACCCGTGAATCCGCGATCCTGTTAAAGCCCGGTATAATCTTACGAATCGCATAATGGACGCGGTCGGGATATAAAAGAAGGTGAAAGGAATTCATTAAAACTCGAACCTCGTGCATATAATAATTACTAGCTTCCAAATTGATCAGATTTATAACATAGTGTATGCGTGTCGTGCCAATTAAGTCAGAAATTCGATCGACTTTAACGAGATTTGGATTTTATTATCGGCCAAATTAAATCTTTTAGAGAGAAATAAATTTCCAATTGATTATTATCCGCGTCAATTAGCGATTAAAAATAAGAATTTAACATAACGATGCATGGTCGGATAATTATCGAACAATTTATTGGCTCTTCCATTTGCATAAGATGAACCAATAACTAAAAAATTTTCGTTGCTATCGCTCTGTCGTCTGTGTACACGTATCCGAGATATGTATTATAGATATATGTATATTACACATACACGAGATACTTGAAACGATGTAATTTCAATCATTTAATTATAATGTAATAAATACACTTACCGTCGTAAAAGCTAAAGTAAAATATTAAGAACGACCCATGGTTTACCAAAATCCCTGCAAAAAATACTTTAACGATGTTAATATTAATTGGACATAATAATCTTAGTATCGTTCTATGTTAAACAATTAAAGAATAGAAAGAATAATGTATAAAAAAAAGAATAATGTAATAATAAAAAAAAACAGTACATATTTTTAGAATAAATTAATCTGCATTGCTATCGCTAATAAATGTATCCGAGGCTTTTAGCAACCGTAACGCTTCCGATGGAAATGAGGCAGATATCTCATTTTTTTTCTCCGATCTTAATGAGCTTATTAGTGGCTCCGAAGATACCAAAGGAACGCGTAAGTGGTCCACCATACATTTTTTTTCTAGAACATTTTCTGTATTAATTTTCTTATATATTCTTTCTATAAATCATTTTCTTCCGTTAACCTTCCCATGGTTAGCAATGTATTTATAATAATGTCAGCACCGTAGATTAATTGCACAGGCAATGTAAAAGTGTCGGGCGTCGTTGGACGGAATCGTGAGATAATAAATACGTACAGCGAAGAAGAATAAATGGGGGATAATTTATCATTTATTTGTCCTACTATTGGTGAACCCTGTGCGTCGCGTCGCGTCGTTTCAGGGCGCTCATGCCTCGAGATTAGGCTAATACAGTAATATCTCCCTAATTGACGTTCGGATTGTGCACAAAATTGGAATATTTGGGAAGTGGAGATAAGATTGTTCGAATAATGCAGCTCGTTTTTATAGTTGTTGACAATTCGTGACTATAAAAATGAATCGTCTCTCTTCTCCCTAAATTGTCNTATGCATGCCTGCGGGCCTCGAACGAATATAACCTACTGACCCAATTTTAGCGAGGGTTCACAGTCGACCCGTGAATCCGCGATCCTGTTAAAGCCCGGTATAATCTTACGAATCGCATAATGGACGCGGTCGGGATATAAAAGAAGGTGAAAGGAATTCATTAAAACTCGAACCTCGTGCATATAATAATTACTAGCTTCCAAATTGATCAGATTTATAACATAGTGTATGCGTGTCGTGCCAATTAAGTCAGAAATTCGATCGACTTTAACGAGATTTGGATTTTATTATCGGCCAAATTAAATCTTTTAGAGAGAAATAAATTTCCAATTGATTATTATCCGCGTCAATTAGCGATTAAAAATAAGAATTTAACATAACGATGCATGGTCGGATAATTATCGAACAATTTATTGGCTCTTCCATTTGCATAAGATGAACCAATAACTAAAAAATTTTCGTTGCTATCGCTCTGTCGTCTGTGTACACGTATCCGAGATATGTATTATAGATATATGTATATTACACATACACGAGATACTTGAAACGATGTAATTTCAATCATTTAATTATAATGTAATAAATACACTTACCGTCGTAAAAGCTAAAGTAAAATATTAAGAACGACCCATGGTTTACCAAAATCCCTGCAAAAAATACTTTAACGATGTTAATATTAATTGGACATAATAATCTTAGTATCGTTCTATGTTAAACAATTAAAGAATAGAAAGAATAATGTATAAAAAAAAGAATAATGTAATAATAAAAAAAAACAGTACATATTTTTAGAATAAATTAATCTGCATTGCTATCGCTAATAAATGTATCCGAGGCTTTTAGCAACCGTAACGCTTCCGATGGAAATGAGGCAGATATCTCATTTTTTTTCTCCGATCTTAATGAGCTTATTAGTGGCTCCGAAGATACCAAAGGAACGCGTAAGTGGTCCACCATACATTTTTTTTCTAGAACATTTTCTGTATTAATTTTCTTATATATTCTTTCTATAAATCATTTTCTTCCGTTAACCTTCCCATGGTTAGCAATGTATTTATAATAATGTCAGCACCGTAGATTAATTGCACAGGCAATGTAAAAGTGTCGGGCGTCGTTGGACGGAATCGTGAGATAATAAATACGTACAGCGAAGAAGAATAAATGGGGGATAATTTATCATTTATTTGTCCTACTATTGGTGAACCCTGTGCGTCGCGTCGCGTCGTTTCAGGGCGCTCATGCCTCGAGATTAGGCTAATACAGTAATATCTCCCTAATTGACGTTCGGATTGTGCACAAAATTGGAATATTTGGGAAGTGGAGATAAGATTGTTCGAATAATGCAGCTCGTTTTTATAGTTGTTGACAATTCGTGACTATAAAAATGAATCGTCTCTCTTCTCCCTAAATTGTCCATTTTCGTGGACAATCCGAGCGTCGATTAGAGAGACATTACCGTACAACAGTTACCTCGATCGTCGCGTCGTCGTCGCATTCAAAGCGAAAGCGAGCATATCGTCGCCCTATTGTGCGATTTTCGAGATCGCCGAAAGAAATGCACGAGATCGCGTAGACGCGACACGTGCGTGCCACGGTGCCATAGTCGTGGTAGTACCGCGCGGCAGTTGATCAGACGCGTACGGATATACACCTATGCAGATGCATCGGAACGTTAGAATGCAGAAACGAGGTGTGTACCGACGAGTTAACGTTTCGAGTTAAATTCTTGCCGAGTCAAAGGAACGCTGCGGGCATCAACTGCATTATCTCCGTCTGCGTCGTCTACGACGATCTCCCCAGATACCGCGTGCCATATAGTACACACAGTAAATAACCGCCATGTAAGATCGTTCGCAGTAACATTACTTCGTTTCCAAAGTAACCGCATTTCTTGAATTATTAGCCGAAGCGTTCGTACGACTTAATCATTTTTACGCGTCCCATTGCAGTTACAGTAATGTCTCCCTAATTGACGCTGAGATTGTAAAATTAAGATATAAAATTAATAGAATTATAAAAATATAAAACCAGCGAACATATGAGCAATAATCTTTACGATATTTAATCGCGCATAAAAATAGTATAACAACCACATTCTAACATAAGACCGCGGTTAAAACCGCAGACGGATCGTTCACCTTCTCTGAAATCGAATACCAGTGTCTGGTTGCTAATGCATGATCAGTAATTCGTCTTAATTATTGTAAGAATAAGTTTCGATAACTTGCACATCAGAATATTAGTATAAGAACGTTTCTTACGAACAGAACATCTTAACATAATCAATGGAAAACGACGTTTACACGAAACAGTGTTGCGGATACGTACAAATACGTTAAAACTAATACCAAGAAATTTCAAGCTTATGTTCAAGCTCATGCGATCGGTAACTATAAAAACGAGACGCGAGGCTCGAATAATCGCGTCTTCTCTTCCCAAATCGTCCATTTCTCTGCATAATCCGTGCGCGAATTAGGGAGAATTTACTGTAACGACATCCGCAAAATTAATTAGCTGTTCTTCGAACCCGTTGACGCGATATTTTCGGTATTTCGATACTCTTGGAACGTTGAAATTCAAACATTTAACAGGGTAAATGTACCCGTTACTGGGAGAGTGTACGCTTTACCGCGGTATTTTACTCAATGAGATCAGAGTAATGCCGCAGTAAAGCGTACACCCGCAGTAAAGGATACACCCGCAGTAATAGGTTCGTACGCTGCGTACAGTCGGGGACAAAAGGATAAAGACGCCGTGTGCTCGATCGCGTTTCGACGGATCGGCTGACGAAAATGTTCATTTTACAAGATACGGCTACGGTCTGCGCGCCTACGGCCGAGGTAGGCTCGTTTTATCTTTCGTTTGTCGGAGTTTTTCCCATGGCGAACGGCGCGCGAGTAACCATCGAATAATATAAACCACGCTATAACTGCGTGCACGCAGAATGCTATGACAAACCATAATAAGATTGGTGGTTAGACTACCTTCGGCAAGGCCGTACGTGTTCCGCCTTTAAACCGTTAACGGCGAGTCGTGCTCGTCGGGAATCACCGTCGCCCAGAGGACGCGGACGGAGGGTGCTCCGGACGAGGAGGCGTACTCGAACGCGAACGAAACAAAACTCATCGTTCGCGGTTGCATAAACATCTTATATTATTTGCTTCTGACATCATCGCGAGTCAAAATGGTTGTATCGACATCTCGTAAAACGTGCAACTTGTAACTGGGGGTTCTGTTCTACGGACTTACAAAATAAGTTACTCGGACGTACACTCGTGCACGAAAGTATTCGAACGCTGAAACGTAGAAACGCCGTGCGTTTCGAGCGGCCGGAGAGGAACGACAA